GGTTGGAAAGAAAGTCCTGTCACTGTTGTGATTTTTTTCTTTTTTATTTTCTAACTCAACATGAAATAAAAACTAATCAATAATATAATCGCCATTGTTAGCCACTACAGTGCTCCACCTAATGGGCAACTCAGCTATCCCCTTCTCCCAGAACTGAGGAGGCTGCGAGTCGAAGAAGTAGGCAACTTCTCGATTGATGCCATCAAATTCGCTGAAGGTTTTCTTACCTAGGAAAGCCTTGAGGGAGCGGAACAAGTAGTAGTCGGAGGGGGCTAGGTCTGGAGAATATGGTGGATGGGGAACGGTCTCCCAGCCTAGCTCCTCAATTTGGCGGTGGGTCTCTTTAGCCACATGTGGTCTGGCGTTATCATGGAGGAGGTGCACCGAAGCTCGTCTCGGCCGCTTTTCTCGAAGAGCTTGCGCGAGTTTCTGGAGTTGGGCGGCGTAAACGGTAGCGGTAACCGTATGCCCTTGCGGAAGCAGCTCGTGGTGCAGCATGCCCTTCGAATCCCAGAAGCAGCAGAGGAGGACCTTCTTGGAGTGCAGGTTCGATCTGGGTTGCGTAGGCGGGTCTTCTCCTCGAGGGAGCCACATGGCACGACGTAGGTTGGAATCATAGAGGACCCAGCTTTCATCTCCAGTCACAATATCTTCCAGAAACTCCTTCCGGTTACGGTGTAGAAGGAGGGATCGACAGATGCTCACCCTGGCATACCGCGTGCCATCTGTTAGAGCATGAGGTATCCATCGCGTGAGGACTTTTCTGTAGCCAAGGGCCTGAAGGCGGCTTAGAGCTGTTGTATGGCTACACCCTAGCCTTGTCGCAATACTGCGCGTGGTAGCCTCTGGATCCTCTCTGACAGGTTCGAGAACGGCGGAATCTTCTACGCCGCGAGGGCGTCCCAGACGAGGTTTGTCTTCGAAGATCGTCTCTCCTTTCGCGAAGCGAGCGAACCAACGGTGGACAGTCCTGACGGTGGTGGTGTCCTCCCCCAATGCACAGTTGATGTTACGGGCCGCTGCCGTCGCTCCAGTGCCGCGGCGCCACTCATAGAAGATGATCACTCGAAGCTGCTCCAGTGAAACTGACATCATAAATAAACACAGGGAAGAGCAGGAGCCTTGATATACCTCTTGTGGAAAAGCTTCGAGAATGTTCTACAACCTTAGCATGTTACGTCATGTTCGAGCTTCGAAGATCAAAAACTGTAGGCTATCTAAAAAACACTGACAGGACTTTCTTTCCAACCTATAGTAGCAGTAGAATCCGACTGAAAACATCCTTCATTTCTATCACTGTTTTTACTATGGCATATTGCACATGGTCTCCGAAATTGTGTTTGTACTTTGTGCTACGGGTCATCGTTTCACCCGCATAATCATTGTGGCAGACCTGCCAGCAAGTCGGATAGTAACTGGTAATGTTGTTACAGTGACTGACTTGTCATTTTAAAGTGAATGAGGGAGTCCTGCAGTATGAGACGCTGCTCGGATGGGGCTAAGGGGGGAGGGGAGGGGCATTTTTGTGAATCACTAGTACCTCAAAGCTGTGATATGAAACAGGCCTAATTTTTCAACTACTTTTCACTCAAATTTGTTCACTTGAACGGATGCCTAGGCAAAGATACCATCTCTTTGGCCGGCGATCTCGTTTTTTTTCGCATTTTCCAGCGTCAAATGCCATCCAGTCATATGGTCTCCACGTAATGGCCCAGCTCCTTCGCTTTGAATAACAATGCGTCCTTGAAGGCTGAACTGCGTCAGCTTCAGATCATCTCCTTCAGTTCTGTGCTCTGAAGCTGTCTTATCACAATGTTTCAATACCAATTTGCCTTGAAGCCTTCATTGTGATCATTCCAGCCCAGACGAACCAGCAGGGCTAGGTCAGCGGATAAACCTTTTGAATCTTTTTTGGAGTGAAGTGCATTAAGACCAAATTAGCGTCACTAGACCTTTTACTACTTTAACGTTTTCAGGCTACGAAACGACTTACATCGCTAATTGCCGCGTATTTTGCCAGCAGCATGTGCATTACTGTGCGTTTCTTGACGCGCCAAATGAATATCAGCGGGCAGAACAGTCCATCTAGTTTCTGTGAGCGGTCATGTTTTAATTGTCTCCATAAGCATCGCTTGAAATGTCCAAGGCGCAGACGTGTGGTATTTTGCACGTACCCTTACTGCCTAGCCTTCTTACCAAGGAGGTTCATGCTTTGATGAGTGGCCATTTGCTTTCTTTCCGGAAGTTTAGCTATAAATTTGTTGCGCTCCCAGCTGGCCAATTAGTCAGGTTTGCGTCCTTATTCTACTTCAGGAAAGAACAGAAATGTGGAAATCCCCTTCCTGGTGGTCTTTAAGAGCCCTCTTTCATGACGTCAATCTTGTGTACATAGGAATTGCTGAAATGAATAAGATGCCAATAATATATGAGCTCATGTGACTTACTATCACAGCTGCAATCGAAGCAAAGCTGTTTTTGCTATATGCAAATCGTGAGGAGAAAAAACTCTAACAGAGCTTCATCATATTATTGGAATTTCTTCAGCTCTCGACTTCTGTGTAGCTAACACACTTCGACTGAAGTGGAGTCAACTGCTATCATGATCAGTCTCCCTCCATGCACAAAGTTAAATAATCCGCGATACAAATAACATAGCTCTGTCGCGGCTCGGAAGTGAATATTAAGGCTGCCGCAGGTCCTCCACGAAGGTTAGGCTCCGCCCGCGGAGGTCGCCTCCTCCCATTTCCCTTGATTTAGCAGTCGCTAAGCTGCGCGGCGGTCTCACTCGTCTGCATATCGTCGCCATTTCGTCGCCTGTTTGTTTCGCTTTTGCACGCTCAATGTCTCGTCGCCGTATGCTCGTGAAATGCTTAAAACCACCAAGATTCTTATCCAAAACTACCTATAACACAGAAAATTCATAAAACCCATGAAGTGAACCACGTAACTCCTAGCCAGAAATACGACCCCCCCTCCCAACAACGACCAAATACGACCCCCCATAGGGAATCCCCAACCAATGCTGTGCCCTGGACATTGCAAAAGGTGACTCGTACGCGGCATTCGCGCTAGGACCCCACTGATTAGATGTGGCTTTGCCGCAATGTGACAGGTCAACCAACTCGTAGACAACAGCAGATGCTCTTCTGGCTGGGATGCGTCTTGGATGGGCTGAACAAACCTCATTTCATACGTGCTTCATCGAGTGCTCACAATCAGGTGCGGTAGTTTGTCGGTATTCTCAGTACCAAACAACGTATTTGTTATGTTTGTATGAGCCGAATGAAGTCATCGTGTCAAGACCCTTTTCATGACGATGTACATCTATTTATAAATGACGTGTTTACACGCCTTCGTGAGCTCCTAACGTGTTTCTAATTCCCATCCAGCGCTTTTATGAATCTGCTTCTTCTTTGATATTTAATACGATGTTTTGCTCCTGACAACGGATAATCTGTACCACGCCCACTGCCATCATTCCTAATCCTTTGGACCTTCTGTGGCTATGCCACGCCCACGTCCATTCTTCGTTTAATGCACTGATGAAAAGGTAACCGCTATATTGCCGCTTTTACGTCAGCTGTTCCGTTTCTGTCATTACTTAATCTTCGCCCCATCCTTCGTGGAAAGGAACAAGATTGTGATGATATGGGTTTTTTCTGAGAAATCCGTAATTTTGACGGTCAGTCCGCCTTACTGCTTTGAGACACTGATGAATGGAAGAGTAAGCACGAATTTGGGGAAGCCGGTCCTAAGGACCGCGCGAGGTCGCGTGCGCGGCAATCTGCAAACACCGCGTTCTTGTGATGGAGCGCACGCTCGCGAAAAACCCATTGTGTTATTGAATCAGGTTGTGATGGCTTCAATTTTCAGCCGTGCTCTTCACTCTAGTTGGTCCAGATTGTCATGACCGTCGGATTTTGTTTTATTTGCATAACTCGAGTGATTAGACAGCAATTATGGTGCATAGAAACGTGCGATTTTGGTCCGAGTTAATTTAGCCTAGCTGCTGATCCCTAATCATTTGACTGACACAGTATTTTGTGGACAGCATGCTCTCAGAGACAATGCTTATTGCATTTTTGAAGTACGACGGACTGTCCTGTTGGAAAATAGCAGCGATATGTCACTGTCGCGACAACAAAACCACTGCGAGCGGGCGCCGATCATACGGTATTTGCAATTGACGCGCGCGACGCCGCCTGGTCCTACCGTCACATACCCTAGGAATTGAAAAATGCACGCTAAAGACTAGCGGTATGAGAAATTCGCAGTCGGTCGATCCCCATCCAATTCCTGGGCGCTCATTTTCCTCATTCGCAAGTTTCTGATTCTCCAGCATCGTAACGTATGAACGCCGTCTTACCGAGTCATTTTTGTTATTTTTTCAAAATTGCTGCTAACGAAACTGCTTCTTCACAACTCTTCTGGTGTGTAGTTTTATGGGACCTATTCCCTTCCGTTTTGTTGCGTATTATGAGAAGGTGAACGCTGCTGCTGTTGACAGGTTTCATTCCTTTTCTGTGAGTGCGACGGCTACCATGCTCGTGGTTCCGTGTGCTCACAAATTATTCTTATCCTCAACGACAAAGACGGCGGCAGCAGCGAGCTTTTCCGTTGTTTTCGTGTTTTTCGCCATTGTGTACTTTGCGCTGTCTGGGCAGCAGTGAGTCTGCCCGCTCACCCTCTGCTGCAGCCGCCACATTTTCCATTCCAGCCCGCTGACTGCATTTGCAGGAAGCAATCTGCACACTTTTTTTCGCTGACTAAGATTAGATTGACATCGCAATGTGCAGTGACGTTCTTATGTGGTGGCATAACTCACATTTTGGTTTCTAATGCTTGTCCGTTATTGCTTTATGTCGTTCATGTTCTCGCGTCACTGATCGAAGACCAGGTGTAAAAGGCCTGTTGTGGTTGTCCATGCTGATAAATTACTAGGAACTCTAATGCATTTCAGAGTGAATGTGGCGTCTCCGAATGCATAATTCAAGTTAAATATGCGTCACGGGTTTTTTATTGACCCCACTTTATTAATATTGTTATTGTTTCGATGGACCCAATGTCAAATAACGGATTCACACGAGGCATCGCAGCCCAGTGTCGGAGCGGTGAGTGCTGCTCTTGTATTTTTATATGTTTTTTCTATATTTTATTATTATTCTAGCTGACTGAATTCCTCAGGCTGGGATACTGGACATTTTTGCGCACAATAAGGCTGCGTTCACACTTTGCGGCAGCGTACAGCAGCCTTTCGAACGTATGTCAGCGACTAGGAAAGTATAAATATCGATCTACGTATGTCAGCGTACGCCAGCGACTAAGAAAGTATGGATATCGGTGTAGCGAACGATAGCGTCAACCAGCGTATGCCAGGGTACGCCCGCCTACAACAACGTTTCGAGCAACTAAGAAAGTATAGATATCGGTCTAGCATACGCCAGTGTACCAGTTGCCCACGAAAATGCTGCTGCCAGCGTACAGCAGCGTTTTTGCTGGCAGTTTTTTTCAAGATTCAACTGGCAGTTTTTTTCAAGATTCAATGACCTTCGAAAATGCTGGCATACGCTGGCTTTCGCTATATCGATGTCTATACTTTCTGATCGCGCGCGTACACCCAAAACGCTGCCGTACGCGGACCCGAAGTATGAACGCATCCTTATCTGCATGATCACGCCCAAAAAGTTCTTTAAAGCCTTTTGTATACTCTTGTTTCGTCACTGCCTTTGAAACCCTATTTTTGGAACAGATCGCTAACATAAAAAAGAAAACAAAAATAAGCAAAAAGAAATCCTAAAAATGTATTCGAGGCAGTCGAGGCGGAAGTGATTGTTTTATCCGGATATTCCTTATACCGTAGAAAAAAAGAGTATTACGGCTTACGTTGCCTACTCACGTGCGAATAGGAACGTTTCTATGGCGTTAATCTTTTTGTACTGTTGTTTCAGTGGATTGTTTTCAGCTTCTGGATGTGAATTCGACAAGTGACAATGAAATACTAATAAGCTATCTGGCAGCAGTATCACGTCTAGATGAGCCACCAGAAGAGTTCATGAAAGCCATTAGCATAGCTCGGGTAATTAGTTGTAATGGAAAAGATCAAGTTTTTCTTCGAGACTTTGAAATGGAATTTTCCAGACACGGGCTTCGGATTCTTCATCATCGTCATCACCATTTCATGACGAACGCTTCAAGCAGATCTATACAATGTTTAATTGTTTCAGTACAGATTTTGACGGTAACTTCAAATTCTTTGATTATAATCAGGGCATGTCCTGCCATTGGAGAAAAATTTAGAAGGAATCCTCCTCAAAATTCCCGTCTCCAGTGTGACCCCCTCTTCCCCATCCCTCATCCCTCCAACCATCTTCTTGAACTTTCCGATTTTTAACCAGTTTTAGTCACCTCTAAAGTCAACAGTTTTCCCCAAAAAGCCAGCTACCATCGAGAGGGGGAGGGGCTGTGGAGCACGTGAAACAGGAGAGCAACCACACATTCTTCTCAATACAATACTGTCACCCTCCTGCCGCAAATTCGATCCCCTCCCCGTGCTGGGGATCCCAATGCCCTGGTTGCTTCATGGAAGAATGTTTCATGTTCATGTTAATCAGCGGAAGCGCAAGAGCTTAACTTCAATTTCAGGGTCAATGATCTCTGGAGCTTTGCATGTGGCTGTCAATGAAATCAATGCCAACCCAGATCTTTTACCTAATCATCGTCTTAACTACATTTTCGACAACACATGTGGTAAAGAGCGGCAAAGTGAGTTTGAAAGCACTCCTAAACCTGTTTTCTTTTGTGATTTTCGCTTTGAATTTCACTCTTTGATCGACGTTGTGCTTTTGAACTTTTGATATTCATCTAACCTTGAGTGTCTCGTTATCGAGAGTCTTTAAAAACTATTTTAATCCTGTACAGTAGCCATAACTCGTCTCTCACAGTTCCGAGAATGCTTGTTGCAGCAACTGAGTGTATTAAGTGCTGAAACTCCACTGATATTTATTATCGGCAGCAGAAGCAGAAACAAACCTGAAACGAAAAAAAACTGGCTACCACACTTGTCACAGTAGGGAAGTCATCTTGAGGAAACAGTCCTGTTGAAAGTCTCCAACTGTATCTGGAGTGACGATTTTTCTTGAAGCTGTGTAATATTCCCACTGTTAACTGAAGGGTGGCGAAAAATTAAGTGTAATGGACAGCGCACTTACCCGGTGAGTGGGAGATGTGGGTAGGAGTCCGCCTCGGGTCTGACTTTTGCCCATGATTCAACGTTCTTGTAATAATTTTCGGAGCGCGAACTGCAACGAAGCCGCCTTATCATACTAGAACAAAAGAAAACAGTTGTATTGATATTATCTTTATTTGGCATACCTAGCCTATTGCTAGCTAGGCCAGCTATAAATTAGTAACTAACCTTAAATTTCTTGTCAGCTTTCAAAAACTACAATTTGTTCTGTTTTTTTAAACATCTCTACAGTGACACATCATAGTCAAAATAAATCGCAAATTGTTATTTGCAGGTACACAGTATTTCATGGATCATTGGAAAATGGGCGCTCGAGTGTTCATCGGTCCAGAAATGAACTGTCGAACTGAGGCAACGATGGCGGCTGCACAAAATTTGCCGATTATCAGCTACAAATGCAAGGACCAAACAGTATCTGATAAGAAAAAGTCAGCTTTCTTTCTCATTATTGTTTGAGACTTTGTTCCTTCAAAGTTTCCGCTGCGTTTCGTAAAGCCGCCTCCCTCCAGTCCACTAATTTTTTAATGTTAGGTTTATGAACGGCTTGACAAACACGTTGATATTCGCATAAGGTTCTCGAGTTATGGTCCTACTGGTCCCGTGGTGCCGTGGGACTGCAGGGGAGGGGAGCATTTTGCACTTTCGCTGCATCACTAACTCCGCTTTGCAAGTCTCACACTGGTGAAACCCCTGAAATCTTGTGAAGCTGGAGCAAAATCGTCGAGCCACTATCGTAAATATGAAACAGTAGCTGATAAGTAATTCCCCAAAGAAGAAAAAAAAGCAAGAAGAGTCCTCAAGAACACATAAACAAAATCGCTCCCTCACAGTCACACCGCCCTGCGGTCTCTGTGCAACCCCGCAGCTCACAAATCGCTTTATGATAACAAAAACACGGACGAAAGGCACTAAAAATAAAGAATTTCAAAAACTCGGCGTCCGAATTTGGGGTTACGGTAGCGTGCATCTTTTAGTGCATGTCGAGCTTTTGCACCACGAAAATTGCATCACTCGTGATTTTTACGCGTTTTACCTTGCGAGATGGGTTGCAGTTGACTGTATGTGCTCCCAATGAATAAAATGTAATAAAGGAGAGCAGAATTATTTATGGGCACGAGCGTCAGCAAAAAGGACATGCAATTCCGATTAATGCCCGCCGCCCCAACAAAGAACAACTGAGCGGCCCTCCGTCAGAGGGCATCTAGCAAGTGGGCGGTCCAACTGGGCGGGCGTTAGAACTAGAACTTTCAGCGGCTGTAGCTCGCTCCGAGATACACAAACATGCAAAGTTCTAGGTGCAAAGTTTTCAGTTCAGGCAATTTCAACGGGGTGGTTAATTGGAAACGATGCATCATTTGCAAGGGAGGACCTCCCAGAAAAATCTTAACCATTCGTTTTTGGTGCTACTTTTTCGTTCAACGAAAACTTTGTCATTCTGTTGGTTCCATTTTTCTTGCAATGAACCGTTTGCATAGCGATAGCATGCGTACAAAACTCCAACAAAATATATTGCGCGGAGCTTTCGCATTTTTAGGCAGATCTAATGGCATTTCTTATTCCTTCTCTTTTAATTTTCATTAGAGTACATCATTTATTACCTGACCTTGTTATCTTAGGCGGCTTTTTGCTTCTGAAAAAAAGTTAAGAAGAAGAATTTGAAAGAGTTATGGGACATTAGGTGCCATCATAAATATTTCATATCTTCGCAGATGACGTGTGTGCAGCAAGAGGCTGTGGTGTGCAGCCAGCGAGAGTCATTTGTATCGCAATTTAATAGTCAGCACGATATTGCACACGCTGCAAGGAAAGTGCAAACGCATAAGGCCGCTGTCCTCCAAAAGACCTGGCAAAGCATTCGAATGAGAGAAACGTGCATAGGAGGAAATTTCGCATAGCCTCGAAGTGAAGCACTCCCTAGCGACCAAGTGCGACCACCTTATAGGATATTTCCGACGATATTGTATCCTGCTGGCGCTGCCTCTAGCGGACAAAACTGATTTTAGCAAAAATTGCGAGTTTTCTTAACGGGAAATTTCACTAGTCCGAAAAGTAGATTATACGTTGAAGTCAACAATACATCTGTAAAAAGTAGTACTGAAGTTTTAAGTTTTAGAAGTATTAAGTCTAGATGCTCCTATCCTGCTGACGGCTTCGGGAGCATCTAGACTTAATAGTTTTCGGTTGTTCTGAAATCTAGCGATTCCATCATCATGTGAAGAATTAGCTGACAATCGGCTTATTGGAGCTAGCGAGTCATAGTTCAAAACATGTACTTGTAAATCCTGTTCTTAAAGGCAGTTGGCACGATGGTTTCCTACTTAGCCTAAAATGCTAGTAGGGCGCTGTATAGTGGGGAAATGGCGAAAGAACGGAGTGAAACGGTCAAAATCCTGCGAAGAAAAAGCTCCGTTCTCAGTGACTTGTAAATCGATTTCGGACGAGTTTCCCGTAGGCATCTTACCAATCACCGCTACCGAAGATACGGCTGCATATGTGTACCCATGTATGCATGCAGCATCGCGGCCGCTTCATATCAATCCCTTCGCTTCATATTTTAGTTCGCAAACGGAGCAATACGAGCGTCAGGAACGGTTGTCCAGGGCGTTTGGGACGTGAAGTTGTGGCTTGATAGGGCCCTTATAAGGGCACCTTCCTCGGGGAAACCGCTATGCAGCGCCTGCCCAGGGTCGCGGAATTCTATCCTGCCAGGAGTATTGATCCTAGTCGCCTTGAGTGATTTATCGTGCCAACTGCCTTCAAGGGCAAACTGTACACTCATCTCTATGGTCCTGAACCTTGCCATGGTCATGTGAAGTGAAGGGATCCGCAGCTACAGCAGCGTACCACTCTCCGGTCAAAAGTGCATTGGAATGGGGCTGGTGGGTATTGATACTCGACCCCGTCCCCATATTCCACCCGGCCGCACGGCCTGCCACAGGCCTAGCCATAGCCAAACGCGCTGCTTGCCTACGCCCTTTCACTCCTATTTTGTTCTCTGCTCTGTTTCGCTAACGGTTCTCGGTAGATCGCGACGCAACGCTGCTCACTGAGGATAGCATGGGCGAAGTATGGGGGTGGCACACGGGCATCACTACCCTCCCGCCCCGTTTCCGTGCTCTTCAGCAGAAAAGGTGGCACGTTACTGCAGGTGCGGACTACTCACCTCGCATATAGCAGGTACCAGTATCAGCGGAGGATAGTGTACAAGATTATAAGCTCAGGTTGTTAGGCGTGTCAGTACCCCCGAAATTGCGCGTGAAGTTAAAAATGTCGCGTCGTGAACGCACACAATCGGGCGCACCGTAATCGGTTTAGTTACCCAAGTTTGAGGTGCGTTTAATAGCTCCTGTTATACGGCATTTGCCCGGGCAGCGACACGCCCGACCCCGGCAGGCACCCGCCGCGCCGGTTACAGTACCCCACGCCTAGTCGAGTGGTCCACACAGAACCAGGCCCCGTTGTGTGCATCCACGGACAACACAATTAATCCCACGCGCAATTTTCGGGGTACTGTACACCCTCTTAACAACCTGAATATATAATCTTGTGGCTAGTGTACAGTTTATCTTCAAGAGTGATAAACAACAGACCAGGAAACATTTGGCAAGCATCGTGAAACTCCTCACGGATTTCACCTCTGTTGTAACTGTGAAATAGTTCCGACTACGATTTCAGCAGGTCCGGCTGAAATACACATCAAAGTTATTCTCCTCCCGAACGTGTCTTGTGCTAATTAGCTGATCCTAAAGGGGTCGATGGCGAAGCTGGTCTCAATGGAAACCCTCCTCGGAATTTGAAGTCGTCGTGCGCTTAACAAGCAAAAGCACTGCCACTCCACCACCTGTGCCGGGAACAATGGTTGATATGCTTTCGCAAAGCAAGCGATTCGTCCGCTGTCACTCTAGTGTTGAATGAATGGTTGCAGGAGAGCTGGATAGGGGCTAAAGCGCGTGCATTCCTGTTGGTAATATGGCTGTTTGAAAGAAAGCCTGTGACTATGAGGGGGGGGGCTTATGTGAATTCGGTTGGAGCGGGCTTGTCTTACCAGTATAAAATGTAAGAGACGACTGGAAAGCCGACAGCTTTTATATCAATTCTGTTAGTTTTGCTGGCTTTCTGCTTATTCTCATCACGTTGCCCATGATTACTCAATTATTTTGCCTTGCCGTTTTCAGATACAACACCTTTGCTCGTACAGTACCAGCCGAAACGGACATCGTGAAGGCTTTTATTGCACTATGTCGTGAACACAACTGGAAGAAGTTCACGATTATCTATGAAGAACGTCCAGCTCATGAAGAGTTATATCAGGCGCTTCGGGTTAGCTCTGCAATTTTTTTTGCGCTCAACTTTTCAATCTTATCACAAACTTCTTTCATTATTTCGATTGGTTAATCTCGTTGAAAGAGAAACACTGCAATCGTGAGAGGTCACATCTTTTCCATGCCTTAGATGCTGAGGTTCGCAGTCACTTGAGATGTGGCAAGAATGCTAGCAGTTCGTTCACAGTTCGTTGGCGGGGGGGGCATTTTGCACTTTCGCTGCTTCAGGTGGTCCTCCCCCGAACTGCGCTTCGGCTGGTATTTCGTGACTCCAAAAGATTTCATAGGTTTCCATTCGATGGTTCGCCATGTCGATGGGAAAAAGCAAAAGTGCAAATGCTCCCTCCCCTTGCCGAATTACGTCGCGGCTTGTAACAACAAGGAAGGCCGCCCACACCAACTGTCGATTCCCATGGACGAACAACGCATGCCGATCGATTTTCTCGCCCTTTTATGTGGAGCTGTGTCGCTACTGTCCTCGCTGATCCCTTCTCCCATCAAGCGTCTCTGTGTCTCTACTCACAGCATGCTCGACCAGCGCTGGAACCGACGGAGCTCTTTTGGAACGTTTTCGACGGTTTCTCCTGCTCTTACATGCGCTTCTAGCAGCTGTTATGAGTTCATGTTATGATCCCTTAGCTGCGACTTAAACCGCGGAATGTGTCTTTCGGACAAGAGTGGATCTCTTCTAAAGATCATCGTGTTAATACCAGCACTTATGCATGGGAGACCGGGGCAAGAGTGAGTTTCCCGCTCCATCGCGCGACGACCGGCGCGGCGTTTTCTTATTTTGCACCAGGCAACTCAACTAGAGCCTAGGATTCTCGGGAGCACTGGAGGTATAATACCATCGTATTCTGAGGAAAATTTGATTATATGTTTTTGCTCTCGCCGTCTACGACCTTGAAAAATTTCCTTTAGCGGACGCGACGTCGCACGTGACGCCCAGTGTCGCGGATTACGATTATCTTGTCACATACCTTTCTGCATTATTTCTGTAGTAGTTCGCAGCCATGCTTTTCTCTCTCTCCCTTAGGGGATCGCAATCAGTTATGATTTCCAGCAAGCAATCGACGTTGAAAATGCACGTATGGAATTGGATGAAATACGCTATTCTGTGCAGAACGTGTCGAAAGTGATTGGCTTCAGTGAAGTGCAATCAGAGAAAACTCATTGGAGCAGTGAGTGAACAGACAAAAGATATAACGAGATGTAAGCCAACCTGTTGAGTAAACAAAAAGAAATAAAGAAAAAAACGTCAGATCGTGAAAATGGTGTTTTAAGTGTACGTCACATTTGGTAATGTACGACTGTTCCGGAAAATTCTGATGTCGATGGGCAAATTGGGTCTGACGGACGCACAGCAGTACCTGTTGATCTATCTCGATGCTGATTACAACTGGTTGAACGTCTATCATGCAATGAATAACCACTTTTTTAGGAGTGAGTGATTCAGCTTTTCTCGTAGTTGAGTTTTCTTTAACGATCAATAGCTGCTACGTTAAGCTGCCGGTCTTTCCGATCTTTTTGCCAAGTTTTGTTTAATTCTTCCTTTTTTATCTTTTTTTCTTGCTTTTGTGTTATTGATTTCGATGGGGAAAAGAATAGGTTTTGTGAGACAGTCTGCAATTTCGGCAATATTAAATATAGGCTGATGATTGAAACACAGCTGAGTTCATCCAATCACAATATCACAATGAGTGCTAGAGAATGCCCTATAAGCTATTCGCTGCGGAGGAAGGGGCGTGTCAGGCGGGATGAGTTTGGCACAGTTCCAATATCCGTTCTCCACCAGTTGTTGAAGCGAGCAAGTGACAAGGCTGTACCATATAGCTCGTATCTTTCCTACCAATTGTTGCCGCATAGCCACTTCAACTGCTGATAGAGAACGGTTTTGGTGCCGTGCCAAACTCATCCTGACTGACACACCCCCTCATCCGCAGCGAACTAGAGTATATAATATTTAAGATACAATGATTGACTTGCAATCGTCATGGGATGTCAGCAACTCTTCTGATCACCGAATTATCGGCTATTCACGAGCTGCATTAGCAATCATTCCTACTCCAGTTGAGCTTAATTCAGATAGGTGCGTAGATCGCGACGCAGTGTTGCTGTCAGTTTCGACCGTAACTTTCATCGAAGCACTTTTGTTTCAGATTCAAAAAGTTCTGGGCACAAGCTGTGAAAGACCTGGCCAATTTCGGTATCACAAAGCATGAGCACACGTGGTCCATTAAGGTGAGGACTGTGGTTTTGTTTCCTCAATTTCTTTTTTCTGTAGCCTTTACATTTCTTTTTTCTTTTGTGATATATGTATGGTAGGAAAGATGTCATAAATTCAACCATACCTTTTTATATCTGTAGGAGGGAGAGATTGATGTGTCTACTGTTTTTTATATTGTTGAAGATGGTTAAGAGATAGAAAGGGAGAAGATCATCAATTGGATTTCTGGAATAGATTACCCGTCTAGATAGACAACCGGCTTGCAGCAGGGTTTTTTAGATCTTTCCTGAACATTGTTCATTTATTATTTGAAAGACGTCGTCTTAGTGACAGCTATGCCTTACACTTTAGAGATGCTGTGAACAGAAAATACCTGAACGCTATAGAGAATGATGTGCATGAAGGGACCAAAGAAGTACGGTATTTATTCCGTAGGCAGTAGAAAGACGTGTTACACCAAGGATTAGAGAGGGAGATTTTTTTCTCCCGCTTATGCCTTATAGCTTGGAAAAGCTCCTTTTGGAAATGGTATCTAGTCGTGCGTCTGTGGCTGTTTAAAGACAGCTCTCGCGATCAAGTGTTCCGCGAAATGCCTCCGTGCATATGGTATCCAGGTCCGCACTCGCATAAATGTGACTTTTTCATCACTCGAAAAGGCGAGATAGAACGGTCACAGCGCGTGGCTCTTATACCCTTTGTCCTTTTCAGTCTACGAGACAACGACTCACGCGAAGAATTACTAGTATGCATTCTGTTACCTGTAGCGCCGTAGGGCGATTTCGTTTACTCACCACATCGAGAATCTTTGCTCGCCGAGTCCGTTGTGAGCTCACGAGTTATTATGTGTCTCTTCTGGAAGCAAGCAAGTAAGAACAGTCCGCTTTCGCACGTTGCGTTTCGGGTCGTTAAAGAGAGAGCTCGCCGCGTATAAAATTCTGGATGCATGCTTTGTTCGCAGTATAATGAACAGGGAGCTGATAAGTTAGATCTTCCCAAAGAAGAAAGAAAAGTGCAAGAAGCGTTCTCGCAGAACGAATTACAACGAAATCGCTGCCCTCAAGTACACTCCCGTGCGGTTCCTTGCGCAGCCCCGCGTAGCTGCGAAATCTTCTATCAAATCTCGGCAGATGTTGATTATCATCAATGATAAAGAATTTGTTCAAAGAAAACAACAAAAACGCAGAGGAAAAACTCGGGAAGGAAAAAGGAATTTTATCAACACGGTGTCTGAATTTGTGATTACGGTAGCGCACCTTTTGTGCGTCGTGGTTAGCATACAGAGTGCGTCGTGGTTTTGCATCACGAAAATTGCGTCACTCGTGTTTTTTACGCGTTTCACCTCGCGAAATGGGTTGAATTGAATGTATATACCTCCAATGAGTAAACTGTAATGAAGGAGAGCAGAATTATCCAGGGGCATTAGCAATGCCCCTGGATAATTCTGCTACCTCGCTCATGTGTCTTACATTCAGATTACAATGAGGCTCCTGGGACAGCACAATACTGAGATAACACAAATTATTTATTTTGATGCACAGTTCAGCTTGGTGGAGCACCAAGCTGGTATTCAGCAAAGTTAGTTCAGGCTACCTTATGAAGGCCTATAAATTCCTGTGATCAAAATGGCTCACTTATACCATTTCATAGCTTCACAGGAATCGCAGGTCTGACCAAGTGTAGCCTTCTATTCATGTAGAATGGCAAAAGAAACCAAAGAATGTGGAAAATGCCTCTCCCAAGCCTAACAGAACTTATATTGTTTTATCCGCAATTTTTCTGGTTTCTTAAAAAGCAAATCCGTGGGATGCACATCAATTCCGCCTTTAAGGTAAACCGTTTTGCGTGTTATCTGTACGATGCGGTGTACCTGTACGCACGTGCGCTGCATGAGTTGATCGAGGAGACGACGGAAAGGCAGATGCATGGCTACGATCCGACAAGAGACGGAGCAGCCATCATTAAGAAAGTGTTGAATCGCAAGTATTCGAGTGAGTTCTTCTGGAAAGAATTAGTTCGCAATACTAAAATAAGTAGGTGAGAATACGAAAGGAAATAAGAGAGAGTATTTGTGTTGAATGTGGCATTACATTGATGCTCTCAAGTTCTCCTGCAACTTAAACTCAAAGAGTTCGGGAAGGAGTCTTTTTACTAAGGCGTTTGAATTAGAAACAAAGAAAAATCCGATATTGGAAAGAGAATATACTCCAAAGCATGATCCGTTTTGCCCGTTATCGCAGCCGAAAGCTCGGTATTATTCTTGACACTTTTGATCATGAACCGTCGATTAATATCATGTCGAAAACGGGGTAGCTGTAAGTAATATGGCCGCAGAAGATATGGCCCGAGGGCAGAATCTCATGTGGAATCCTCTTCCCCACTTACAACCTAAACTCTTTCGTTTTAGGTGGATTAGGCATACTAGGCCCGTTTCGAAGAACTAAATCAAATATCTGTACAGGGGTTCCCTCTCATCGCACTAGGTCAATACGCATTCGAAAATTGATGTGGATCCTGAACCTCGCAGATACAGTAGCATGCCACTTTCTTCGGTCCGAAGTTCATGGGAACGGGGCTGTAGAGTAGTTATAAACTATACTCCGCCCGCTCTGTCGCACGGCCAGTCGCTCAACCATAGCCGAACGCGCTACTTGTCTACACCCTCCCACTTCTGATTGATCTATACCACATGCTCAGTGTTCGCTGCGGGATCTTGGTATC